TAGCTGCAGCAGCTGCGCATCCCTCTCTCTCTATTTATGGCAAACCCTTGGGCTTGGCCATCCTTATCTCTCCCTTGAAGCCATTGAAGCCTTCTCAGCCCACACAGAGAGAAACCTCCTCATCCTACACAATACATGCGTGAATTATAAGCTCTCAATCGCTCTCGTCATTAGTGTCGCAGCCAGGGACCTCTCTCGATCGGTTTCAGGTATGGGATCTAAACCCCAAAATTTTGGAGTTCGGTTTCCGGTATGGGATCTAAACCCCAAAATTTTGGAGTTTCCTTTTCTACAAGTTCTTTGCCTCTGGGGCTTCTTTGAGTTCTTGATTCTCTCTCTCCCTCTGCAATTATTCGATTTAATTGGAATTTTTGGTTCCCCTAAATTGTACCTTGGGAACCTAGTATTCATTGTTGTGTTATTTTTGCCAATTAAATGGATTCTATTGATGTTGGTTTTTTGTTCCACCCCAAAATCCATCATTAGGTTTCACCTTCCCTAAACAAAGGAAATTGCCTCCTCCTTTCCATCAGTGTTCGCAATATTATCCCTAATTCAGGTCTTCTATTCTACCACTTTTCTCATATGCTCTGTAATCGTTCTTTATCAAAGGACAAATATATCTGAAAACTAAAATTTAGTTCTAATGTTTTTACGTTCTTGTGTGGGGAAAATAATTGAAAATATTTTGGCCTGTACTACACATCTGAATTCTGTGAACATGGGACATGTTCTTTGTTAGTTCTAAAATATATCCATGGGTGACATGACGTGCCTATTACCATTTTTTTGGGATGGTTTGCTTTCTCTCTCATGCATTAGTTTATTTATTTGATATTCAGAAATGTGATGAAAGCTTGACAATGCTTATTTTTCCATTTGATTATTAGTTCTCATTTCTCCAATCATTATTTCATGAGCTTTTGGTACTGCTGTTCTCGTTCTTGCATTAAGATTTAGATTTAAGAAAATGGTAACTATTTTTGGTGTAACATGTTTGCTATCATGATTCAAAAATATGAGAAGAAAAAGAAGTGATAAGTGGGCTTGTGCTTTACATTTTGCATCTTGATTCATTTGTAGGCGGAAGGATGGGTCAGGAATATGAGTGTATCGGATGCCGATGACTCATCGTTTCCTGATGTTGAAAGTCGTAGAACCAGTGAAGTAATTTATGCTACAAGATTAAATTACTTACTAAATTCTTTCCTTCCCAATTTCTTTTTTGCTATTGTCAACATCCTTACTATTCCATTCATGAAGTAGACGTCTTGATTTCTCATACCACTCCATTGATGTTGGTTTTTTTTACTTTGGAAATATTTCTCCCATCTTCACGCCCTACTTTTCCTATCTGTCATTTCTTTTGGGTTTTGTTTTATTGTAACAGTTCTAGACTAACTGAATATTTCACCAAAGATGATTGGGATGAGGAAGCTTTAGAAAGCAGAAGCAATGCGATTTGTAAGAAAAGCACAGGGGTTTGAACTGAGTTTTTGCAGGGAAGGAACTTAAGTGGGAAAAAGAGGAAGAGAAGATGAGTAGAAAGCCCTGGCTGCTGGTTAGAATGTGAAGCTGGCTGACTTTAGTTGTAAAGTGAGAGAGAGGGAGAGATCATGTATGTCTAATAGCTTAGCAAATTTGTACTCCTTTTCAAATTTTTACAGTTACACATCATGATTATCAAATTTTTAATGTTTGCTTGAATGAGTAGTGGAGCAGACCAAGGTGTGTTGTACTTTACTCCTAAAGGGTACAAAGAATTGTGCATCTCTTTTTATTACAATGTACAACAACTACTATTTTGTGCTTCCGGTGCTATGTGCTATTTATGGCACTTATTTCTTTTTCTTTTCTTTTTTAAATTGTGGTATGTACCGTAAATACGTAAAGAAGGGTGTTGTGTAACTGTGCTTGTTGGGGTTTTTCACAAGGATGCAGTGTTCAAGACGGACTCCATGAATGTCCTTAATGAAAGGACTTTCAAAGGAACATTCTTTGGAAACTATAAGCCACATTTTAATCTTCCATCTATTGTTGACAAAGCACACGTCACATATGAAGAAGTTCATCACACATTCAATCTCATTCTTAGAGATCTAAGACGTTTGAATACATGCTCAAATGGGACGGCTTTCGCTGCATCATTCGAATGGAAGAGTGAAACTTGAAGAAACAAAAAGAAATAAATTACATGTTGGAGGTTGAGTCAGCACAATTGCGTTAGCTTTTTTTAAGCATCATTTATATCTAGCTTTTTCCTATTTCATGAGATGTTTAACCTCCTTGTATCTTTCCAGTGGTTTATAAATGATTGTAATCGGCCTTTGTTTAATTAATGGTAATCTTTTGTAAATGAAATTATCTGGTTTTTAGTATTATTCAGTTTATAGTTTTTTTTTTTTTGTACACATACATAAACGCAAAGAGTGAGAGCGAGAGAGAGATCTGGTTATCAGCTATAATGAAAGAATATAAGCTCATTTATTTGGTTCAGTCGAGAGAGAGATATATATAGAGAGAGATCATTCAAATCCAAGGGCTATGAGAGAGTTGGTTATCCAAAGCAAGTCCGTGATGGTTATAAAGCTATTATGCATTCCCTTTGGTGTGGTAAAAAGTGAGAATGTATCAAACGCTCAATATAAAAAGTAAAATAAAGTGAAAACTGTAGGGATATAACCGCATTTCATTATCCAAGTAAACCTACATTGTACACGTTAATGACATACATGGAAAAGAAATAAATGTCACACATATGTTACGAAAATGTCACCAAATAGGTCCTTTAGATACCCCATAAAGAGGTCTTTTACATGTTCCCATAAAAGGGTTCTTTACATGCCCACAAAATTACATGAATATTGAATATTCACATAACCCCAAAGTCAAGTATAAAAAGAGGTATTTATATGTCTCCAAAATTCAAAAAATTTGTCATTGTCTTTTACATGCCCTATAAATAGGTCTTTTACATGCCCACAAAATTCATTGAATATTTATATAACCCTTAAAGTCAACTACAAAAATGGGTTTTTACATGTCTCCAAAATTCAAAACATTTGTCAATACAAAAATATCCTTTAAAAAATCCTTCATACAAATGCAGTTTCGTAATTTGTGATATCCTCCATGCAATTTCAGCCCCTTCATTTGTCATGGCCTCGACTCGGTTCGAAGTCCTCGATAGCTCTACATTCTACACGTCCTCACTGGACAATTACGCTTGTCATGTCCACTCTTATTGCAAACTTTACACTTTCTTCCAGTGGGTGGCCTTTCTTCCCGTGAAGGTTTTATCCTTTTAGTCCTTGGTCATCCAACTGCTCGTGCACATGGTGGATCGAGTATAAGGGAGGAGGCATCAACTGATCTAATACTGCCACATACTTCATCTTGAGCGGTACTACAATGAGTGGAGGCTGATGGTGCATGAGTATTCGACAAAGACTCTCTTGTTGCATTGACCCCCTCAGCTAACTTCGAGAAACCCATCTTCACTTTTTCAAATAGAACATCATTTTCTACTACTGGCTCTATAATTGTTCTCATTGTCTTTGACACTCTTCTTTGCATCCATTGTCCAACGGCTCAAAATATAGTTAGATGAGATCTTCAATACATTCCTCATATTGAACACTTTGAGCATATGTGAAGATCCCAACACGCTCAAAGAATTGACATGTGCATGTACACTTCTTCTCTGATTCAATGAATATAACCGTCCAAGGGGTTGGCACACCACCAATGTCTTTCACCTTATATTTGGCAAAGTCATCATTGCCTTCTATTAATTTACTAAGGCAATTTGAGGACCTTACCACCTCTTCTTGGAACTTTCTAAATACTTTTTGAGTGTCTTTGCTGTATGCTCCTCGATAAGGAAGGTTGTCTTTAGAACAGGCGTGGATGTAAGATCTTTACAGTCTCTCTTTTTCTTTGATGAACATTTTGTTTTGCAACTTTTCAATAGCATTCATGAATTTTTGCAAACTTGTACCAGAAGTGACATACATCTTTACATGATGATTAAACCCTTCACTTCATTGTGTGGTTTTCATGCCGGCTGTGAACCTATCAGCTATGTATACATCAACCCATTGAGTGTGACAACCATATAACCACTTGAGCCAACTTTTCTCTTGAATATCATATTTCTGAATCATAGTCAACCAATCAGCCTCAAACTGCTCAACTGTGTACATTGCAATACACTTCTTGAGTACCTCTAAGAATAATAGGTGCGCATGCTCAACATGGCTTAGATGTGTTTTAAACTTTCTCATAATGTGCCACTTGCAATAGTGATGATTAGTATTCGGGAAAACTGTCAAAACTGCAGCCATTATCGCTAAAGCCTGATTAGGGAAAACTATATCTGATTAGCGGCCTCCCATTGCCTCTAGCCAGTTCTCAAATAACCAAATGAAGGTTTCTGTAGTCTCATTTAAGATGAGAGTACATCCGAAAAAAATTGTGTTACCGTGATGATTAACTCCAAGGATTGGGCCAAAGGGCATACTGTATTCATTTGTTTGGTATGTGGTGTCAAAAGTTACCACGTCATTAAAAAATTGGTATGACAATATACACTTTGAATCAACCCATAAAACACCAAACACCTCCCCATCTCTTCAAGTCGAACTCTATAAAAGAAGTTATGGTCCAATTCATTCTTCGTATGCAACCAATTCATAGCAACATTACCCTCTTTCCCTTTCAGTTGTTTTATTTCCTAGTTATGTGATTCTCAAGGTCTTTCTCAATAAAAGTGATATTTTCTGCCCCACCGACGTCTTCAATAAGGTAATCCATCATAACCCTAGGCTTACCCATAGAAGACTCAAATGTGTCAATCACCTTTTTCAATGTGTTTGGTATCGTTCAATGGGAGCGAATGAATCTAGTCTTGTTGAGCGTTGTGAGAATATGATTACGTTCTTTTACAACCTTTGCAATAACCCATCTATTCTTCTCATTCTTCTTAATGCAGATCTTTGCCTGACATCCACATTTTGTGTAAGGGTGAGCATTTTCACTCCCATCATACATTTTACTACGAAAACCTTGCCTACAACATTCTAAAATCCGACTAATTATTCCACCATGCTTCCATATGGTCCTTCCCTTTCTTATACCAAACCATACCAATTTTGCGTACTTATTATAATAATCATAAGCTTCATCTTCGTTAGTAAATGCCATTCCTATTGTCGGTTGGATACTTGCACCTCTTGCTAGGGCTGCCTCAGCATCTATCAGTATAGGATCTCCTTCTCCATTTATTGCAACTATGTCATCATCAGATGGGGAATCATGGCAAGCTTCATCCACTATAGCCTGAACACCACACTCATGCCCAATTTTTGAATTGGTAATGTTGAGCGGAGAGGAAAGAGAAGCTGATGTTGAGGCATCCATGACACAAGCATAGTATACCCATCCAACCTCCTCCGTTTGCACCAAAAGCTCATGAATAATGAGCAGTAACATTGAGAAATAATGATTGTAACATTGAGAAATGAGAACTAATAATCTAATGGCAAAATAAGCATTGTCAAGCTTCCATCACATTTCTGAATATCAAATAAATAAACTAATGCATGAGAGAGAAAGCAAACCATCTCAAAGAAATGGTAATAGGCACGTCATGTCACCCATGGATATATTTTAGAACTAACAAAGCACATGTCCCATGTTCACAGAATTCAGATGTGTAGTACAAGCCAAAACATTTTCAATTGTTTTCCCTACACAAGAAGGTAAAAACATTAGAAACTAAATTTTAGTTTTCAAATATGTTTGTCTTTTGATACAGAACGACTACAGAGCATATGAGAAAAGTGGTAGACTTGAAGACCTTAATCAGGGTTAATATTGCGAACACTGATGCAAAGGAGGAGGCAATTTCCTTTGTTTAGGGAAGGTGAAACCTAATGATGGATTTTGGGGTGGAACAAAAAACCAACATCAACAGAATCCATTTGATTGGCAAAAATAACACAACAATGAATACTAGGTTCCCAAGGTACAATTTAGGAGAACCAAAAACTCCAATTAAATCCAATAATTGCAGAGGGAGAGAGTGAGAATCAAGAACTCAAAGAAGCCCTAGAGGCAAGGAGCTTGTAGAAAGGAGAATCAGGGAAAATCCTACCTTTTTTTTTCTTCCATCTAATCTGTAATCTATATATCGAAGGAAGGAACTTGTAGAAAGAGAAACCTCCAAAATTTTGGAGTTTTAGATCCCATACCTGAAATCGATCGAGAGAGGTCCCTGGCTATGACCCTAATGACGAGAACGATTGAGAGCTTATAATTCATGCATATGTTGTGTGGGATCAGGGGGTTTCTCTCTGTGTGGGTTGAGAAAGCTTCAATGGCTTCAAGGGAGAGATAGGGATGCCCAAGAGAGGGACGCACAGCTGCTGCAGCTAGAGAGATGCTAGAGAGAGATGGAAGCCACGCAGAGAGGGGAGGTCGCGGCCATAAATAGAGAGAGAGAGGGGAAGTCGCAGAGGCTGCAGCTAAAGAGAGAGGGAAGCCTCGCAAAGAGATGGGAAGTAGCAGAGGCTGCAGCTAGAGAGAGAGGGAAGCCTCGCAGAGAAATGGGAGGTCGCAGAGGAGAGTAAACAAAGGTTACAAGGAAATTTTTAGAGGTTTGAAGCATTTTCGGCCCAGGTCTTTCGTGCGCGGAACTTTTTTAGCAGCCCTTGATTTCAATTTTTTTGAACAGGGTCAATAGGGTGGAGCAAAATCACTGAATAT